GGGATGGATTGACAGAGGTATTCGAGTGGGTGTTACAGCCCCGTGGATCTCACATCTCTTATTTGCGGATGATTGTCTTGTATTCATGAAAGCCGATGTTAGGAGTGCAACTCGGCTGACTGAGATACTGCATATTTATAGTGATGGATCTGGACATAGAGCTAATAAGCAAAAGAGTTCAGTTTTTTTCAGTGCAAATTCGGGAGTATCTGTTCGGGTGGGTGTGCGGAATGCACTGGATATTCATAGGGAAGCGCTTACTGAGAAATATCTTGGGCTACCAACTCCTTCTGGTAGGCTCAAGGTGCAGCACTTTGAGCATATTCATGAATTTTCAAGATGTAGAGTGCAAGGATGGTGTGAAAAGAAGTTGTCTTGTGCAGCGAGGGAAGTTCTTCTCAAGACAGTGGTTCAGGCCTTACCAACCTACGCTATGAGTTGTTTCAAGCTCACAAAGGGGTTGTGCAAAAAAGTTATGGCAGTAATGTCCAAGTACTGGTGGGCGGGATCACTGGATAAGAGAGGAATGCATTGGCAGTCGTGGGAGAAAATGTCCATCTCGAAGATTAGGGGTGGCATGGGATTCCGGGATTTGGAGATATTTAATGATGCAATGTTGGCAAAGCAGGCATGTAGGTTACTAGAGAGACCAGATAGCTTATGTGCACGGGTTTTGAAGGGAAGATATTACCCTAATGGTGAATTCTTGAGTGCTGGTTGCCCAAGGAGTGCATCACCTACATGGAGAGCAATTATCACCGGTAGAAACATGCTAAAAGATGGCCTAATAAGGCGAGTTGGAGATGGGAGGACGACAGAAATTTGGCACGACAAATGGATAGCTGGGACATTGTCCATGAAGCCCATATGTCGTCTCTCAGAGGTACCAGTTCAGCTAGTGGCTGATTTATTGGATGATACAGGACAATGGAATGTACAATTGGTACGAACTATGTTCATAGCACCAGATGCAGATGCTATCTTAAGTATGCTGCGTCCAAGAGTGAGCCTCCCAGACTTCTGGAGCTGGGCATGGGAGAAATCAGGATTATTCACAGTTAGGTCTGCCTATCGTATGGCCATTGAGAACAAGTTTAACTTACAAACTTAGATTTCTTTGTCTCATGGCGGACAGAGTAACTTGAAAGCTCTCTGGAAGTTGCAAGTGCAGCCAAAAATAAGAGTATTTATGTGGAGAGCTTTGAAGAATATGTTACCATCACATGGGGAATTATGCAGGAGACATATCAGAACGGATGCTATCTGCCCCATGTGTGGAGGAAGCGATGAATCATTATTTCATACGCTAGTGACATGCGAGCATGCGCTGCTGTTCTGGGAAGAGGCAGAGGATTTTTTTGAGCTCAGAATGCCCGCATTACATCCAGTGACATGGGCTAGGGATGTGCTCGATCATAACTTTATTAGTAAGAAGGATGCAGCAGTGGCCGTTTCGGTTATGTGGGCGATTTGGAACAACAGAAATAGATATACTCAGAATGAAGCAGTCTACCAGCCGTTGCGGTCAATGCAGTTAGTACAGGAGCTGGTGAGAGCTCTGGATATCGCAGCTACGGAGGCGCAACAACCTAAGCCTCAACCAGTGTGGAAACCTCCCGAGGAAGGCTGGATCAAAGTTAATACCGACGGTGCAGTTGGGTCGGTCAGAAACTGTGCTGGGACGGGTGCAGTTTTGAGAGACCACCTGGGAGTGTTTGTTGCGGCAATGATGACAAAGTATGATGCTGTATCAGATCCATCATCGTTGAAGCATTAGCTTGTAGAGATGGTATGAAGCTGGCTATGGAGAAAGGAATTCAGAGAGTTGTGCTGGAGACTGATTGTCTGATGGTGGCGTCTGCATGAGGGGATGCAACTGATCGGTCTGGCGCTGGTCATATCTTCAGGGAGATGAGATCATATCTCCCAAACTTCCAGGGATTTTCCTTACACCTCGTTTGGATGTTGATATTGGGGCCTAAAAATTGATATTGGCATTGGGCAACCCGAATGCCATTGTTCAGATGGTCACAGAATTGACTCGCTGAATTGGCCCGCGATATTCGCTAGCCCACTCTCCCAGCCCGCCTGGCTGTTCCTAAATTCAGAGCACAAGAGCTCGACTTCGTGAGATATTCGGGATTGCTCGTTCGACTTACCGCTTCGCCCGCTCTCAAGCAAAAAGAAATAGGCCAGACGTGTGCTACAGAAGACGAACGGAAGCGCGACACGGGAGGTCCCGGCGGCGCTGGTCGGCCCCTCTCCACCCTCCTCCTTCTCCCATCTCTCTGGCGGATCCACTCCTCCCCTATGTGCCTACCTCTCTCTCCGCGCGCCTGCCTCCCTCCTTGCGAGCCCGTCCTCCCTCCCCGTGCGCCCGTCCCACTGGCCGTCGTTGGCCTGACCCACCACCGCGCGCATGCCCCCATGGCAGATGGCTCCCGTCCCTCCCCGTGCGTCCGTCCCACTAGCCCCCTCCCTTTCCTAGGCAGAAAACCCAATCCCCTGATCCCTTCAAACCCCCACACTATGTGCTGATGTTCTGAAGAACAACAGTCTTCTGCAGGTCAATCGATTTGAGCTTTGTTCCCCAGCAGGCAGATCCAAAGTACTTGACGTGGTTTGTGTGTGATATTGGTCTGTTATAAACGTGTGATGTTGATACAAATTTTGCTTCCAGTCCTTCCGATGCTTGACTGAACATACATTATCTTGATTGATTGATATATGTTGTACAAATTGATGCATAATTACTTAATTATTGTGTAGTTGTCTGGATGGCATACCTTATCTCACAAAGAGTAGCTCGGGATAGTTGTACTGTATTTGGCTGTGGAAGAAAAAGTTGTTGTTGTATAAGTAGTGATGCCCTTTTTTGTGCAAGTAACGCTTTTTTTGCAAGTGCCGTGATTGTATTCTTTAAATTTAAACATTAAAAAATATATTCACATGATGCATAGAATTTAACTAAAAAATTACATAGAAGTACAATGTGCATCCTATGACAATAACCAATTCCAATGTACACATTGGCCATCCAAACACGCTTTCCAATTGGCCCTCTCATGCAAATTCTAGATGTCAATTATGTGAACATCCAAACACCAGAATTCGGGTGCAATGTCAATATCAAAGTCGGGAGGATTTGATATTGGGGCCAATTCAATTCCAAGGCCTTGAATATCAACATCCAAACAGAGCATTAGTTTTTTCTCACCGTAGTGCTAATTTTGCAGCTCACGTGTGTGCAAGAGTAGCACGAAATATGGAGACTTCTAGCTCCTCGTTTGATGTAATCCTTGACTTCTTGATTGCTATTGTGCAATCAGAGGGTGTACCGCCTGTTCAATAATAAATTGCCATGATGGCGGTCTCAAAAAAAAAAAAAAGATGGATGGAGTGAGCGGCGATGCGGTTCACGCTGCCCATGGACGCAACGTATCCATCCATCCTTTCGGTCTCACGGCGACCCCGCGCCGCAAAAGCGCCCGCCACGCTTTCGGTCGCCGCATCGGCATGGGCCAGCACCACCCGCTCCGTTTCCCCGCCTCCCCGCGACGCCACTTGTCGCCGGCCCGACGTGGCCGACGGGACTCCGCGTGCATTTGTTGTACGCTAGCTGAGCGGGACAGCAGCCGGCGTCTGGGAAACTCGTGTGCGGCGGCGAGCGCCGCAGCCACCGCCAGTGAACGTGCCTGCATATGCGCCAGGGATCGAATATTCCCTGCCGTCCTATTCCTATTCCTATGTGCGTGTGGAAGTGGAAGTGGAACGCCGCATGTGATGCTGAGGACAGACGCGCGCCAGATATTTCACCTGGAATTTTCTGTCAGGTCCCGGTGAACAACATTTTCATTTACGAGGCCGTGGAGAGGAGACCCAGCTGACCAGCTCCGTTCAGGTGCACCCGCTGACTTCGACCACTTCCGTTCGTACGCGGGGAGATGATCTGTTTCATACGACTCGCGACCCAGCGCGACTTTGACGAGTACGTAAGTTGCTTGCTACCCTCAAGCTAGCACCTTCCGAGAATCATCGGCTGATCTCAAAACACTCGCGCCATTAGATACAAAAATCCGAGAGATTCGACACGGCTTTTTCCCTTTTCCGACTCCTACACGAGACTATTTGACGCAGGCTAATCATAGGCAGAGCGCGAAGCTAGGTCGGGTCAAGCACAGACCGCGCGTTCCCACTCACCGTCCAACCCAATCCACCGCCGCCGCGAGCGCCTGCTCGAGAACCCAAACAGCTTGCTTCCCACGCCTTTTCTTTCCCTTGGGGATTTCCAATCTTTTATCGCGCACGCCAAACACCTTCCTTTCCATGTTCTAAACTTGCAATCTCCCCAACTTTTCCTCTCCCACCAACCTATATATACGCTCACCCGCCACGAAAAAGTATAACTCGTCAACAATTCACCTTGGACACAAGCAACAGAAGGAAGCCACCACAATCCCTGTTCCCAACTCAGATTACACAAGAGAAAGACGACGATGGCCGTGAGCAATCAATGGACGCGGGTGCGCACGCTCGGCCGCGGCGCCTCGGGGGCTGAGGTGTTCCTCGCGGCGGATGACGCCTCCGGGGAGCTCTTCGCGGTCAAGTCGGCGAGCGGGGCGTGCGCAGCTACGCTGAGGAGGGAGCAGTGCCTCATGTCCGGCCTGAGCTCCCCGCGCGTCGTCTCCTGCATCGGCGGCCGCGGCGCCCGCGACGGCTCCTACCAGCTCTTCCTCGAGTTCGCCCCCGGCGGCTCGCTCGCCGACCGGATGGCGAGCAGCGGGGGCCTCGACGAGTGCGCCGTCCGCGGCTACGCTGCCGACGTGGCGGCCGGGCTCGCGTACCTCCACGGCGCTGGGATGGTGCACGGGGACGTCAAGGCGAGGAACGTGGTGATCGCCGCCGACGGCCGCGCCAAGCTCGCGGATTTCGGGTGCGCCAGGGAGGCGGGCGCTGACGTGCCGATCATCGGCGGCACGCCGGCTTTCATGGCGCCGGAGGTGGCGCGCGGCGAGGAGCAGGGCCCCGCGGCCGACGTCTGGGCGCTCGGCTGCATGGTTGTTGAGATGGCCACCGGCCGCGCCCCGTGGAGGGGCATGGACGGCGATGCGCTCGCCGCGCTGCATCGGATTGGGTACACGGAGGCCGTTCCTGAGGTCCCCCAGTGGCTATCCTCGGAGGCCAAGGACTTCTTGGCCAGGTGTCTTGTCAGGCAGGCCAACGATCGGTTCACGGCGGCGCAGCTGCTGGAGCATCCGTTCTTGGCTGCCGCCGTTGTCGACGGGAAGCCGCAAGCCGTGGAGAGCAAATGGGTGTCACCGAAGAGCACGCTGGACGCGGCATTCTGGGTGTCGGAGTCCGACACCGACGAGGTGGACGACGAGCCGTCGCACGGCGCGGCTGTCAGCAGGATCAGAGCATTGGCCTGCTCTGCCTCGGCGCTCCCGGACTGGGACTACGACGAGGGCTGGATCGACGTGCTCTCCGGGCCAACGGAAGCCCCTGTCGCCGCGCCGGCCAAGGTGACGACTGGCATCATCGTGGACGATGCGACCAGTGAAGAGGAGTCAATCGACGCAGAGTTCGGCGCTCTCGACATTAGCGTGGACGTGGAGCACAGCAGCGTGCTCAACGCAGGACAAGAAGCACACGATGATGATTTGGTCGTAGGGCATAGTAGGCATCAGCCATTGGAGATTCTACTTTCTCACCAATTAGTGTCATGTAAATTGTTACCCGTACTGTTATGTTGCAACAGAATCAGTAATGCAATCGATTTCGTTCATGCCAAAGCTCTCTGCTTCGCAGGCGCTGCTCTTCTGTTTCTCTCTCTGCTTGCTGCTGCTCCGCGTTGGGACACGATTGTTCGAGAAATTTCAAGACAGAATATAGGTTGCCACTAACACGATGCGTCAGTTCACAGGATTGGCAGCCACGCCGCGCACCAAAGCTTCCACGGCGGAAAGCACTGCTGCACGGGTCAAAAACCTCTTGTCAGGCAGGCCATACGTGGGTTCGGCAGAGTCGACGGCCGACGAGTGAGAGCGAAACCTTTATCGACAAGCGAGCGTCGCGTCCAGAGATTACTTCGCCAGGTGGAGGTCGAGCGCCCTCCTCCGGTGTCAGCGAACCACTGTCAACCAAGTTGACTGCTCACGAAGGAGATACTGCATCGACTACAGCTGGTGTCAGACAACGGCGAGACAGCTACAGTACCGGAACAAAGGCCCAAGTCGACTCGGCCCAAGAAAACACCCCAGTGGCTTGCAAGCCCGAACTGGGCCCGTTAGCGGGTGTAACAGTATTTATAGCCGTTAGTTGCTTTCCTTTTGTTTTTGGCGATGGACTAGGCGGCTGCGGCCGAGGTGTAATCAAACAGACGTGAGGGAGGTTGGGAGGAACACGCATGTGAAATTCAAATTCCAGATCGAAAATCTCAATTCTCGCCATGGCTATGTGAGCTAGATCCAAGTACCTCACAGTTGGTATTAGAGCTGTTCGTCCTGGAGTTTCCGCTACATCACCACCGCACCAGATTCAGCGACCGTCAACGGCGCCGAGCCATGGAGGAGCTCAGCGACGAGAGTCGCGCCGTGCTCGATTTGCTTCGCCATGAAATCAACCTCGACCTGGACCAGAAGTTCAAGGCGCAAGGCGAATCCCTCCTCAAGTCCATGAGCAAGATGCTGGAAGCCAACAATTCGGCGCTCGACAACCTCATGTCGGCTCGAGCCGACGGCATCCGCGAGGAGATCGCGCTCGACATCGAGCAGGTGCGAGCGAACGTCAGCAAGCTCGAGTTCATTGATTCGGGACCCAGGCCGAAAGGAAGCTTGTCATCTCGTCACGGCGGCCCGACTCGTGGCGGCGCAACCGGTGACGGACTGGGTTTCGAGAGCGACCACCGCGGGAAGTCCCACAACATCTACGTGCCTCCGCCAGCAAGAGGTGCGCGAGATCTGAATCCTTCGCCCAATATTTTTTTCCCCTCGCGATTTCTCTGTTCTGGATGCTGCTGAGTCGTCTCCCTTCTCTATGCACATGGAGATGCCTCGATTCGATGGTACCAACCCTCGACTGTGGCAGAATCGTTGTGAAGACCAATTCAGGTTATGGAGTACCCCTGCCCACAGATGGATTTCTCTGGCTACAGCACAGTTTGAAGGCGCTGCGGCGTGTTGGTTGGACTCTGTGCAGCGTCGTATGCCCAATTCGAATTGGACTGAATTCTGCTCTGCTCTACAAGCCAGGTTTGGTCGTAATCATCACCAAACTCTGTTGCGCAAATTATTTCGAATTGCGCAAACAAGTACTGTAGAGGATTATGTGGATCGTTTCGCAGAGTTGTATGACCAACTGACAGCCTATGAAGATTCACCCAACGCCTTGCATTACACCACCAGATTCCTTGACGGTCTAAAACCAGGTGTTCGGATCGCTGTCGCACTGCAAAAACCTAAGGATTTAGATGCAGCTTATGAACTGGCTCTGTTGCATGAAGAGCTTGGTGAAGGTATCACACCGATCAATAGCTATTCAGCCAAACGCTTGTCATCCGTTGCGTCTGCTATCTCTCCTCCCACTGTCAGAATTGCAAAGGAAAGAAAAAGGACTGAAACTGTTAAACCCCAACGAACTGAAGATAAGTGGTCAGCGTTGAGAGAGTTTAGAAGATCTAAGGGCCTCTGTTTTGTTTGTGGTGAGAAATGGTCCAGAGATCATGTGTGCAAGTACACTGTGCAGCTGCATTTTGTCCAGGAAATGATTGAACAGCTGCAGATTAACTCTCCAGAGGAATCAGAAACTTCAGACAATGAGCAACCCTCCTCTACTTCATCTTCAGTGCACTCCATTAGACTTTCTGCTGCTGCTATAGGAAAAGAACCTGAGGCTCCTATTCTGCAGTTACAAGTGAATATCCAAGGTCATATACTGAATTTCCTTGTGGATTCTGGCAGTACTCATTCGTTTCTGGACAGGAAATTTGTGACATTGTCAGGTGTTGCTTCCATTACTCCTGTCAAGGTTACAGTAGCAGGGGGATCTGTTATCTTTTGCCAGCACAGTATTGAGGCTTGTAGCTGGCTCAGTAATGGGGTACAGTTCACTTCCAACTTCAAGCTATTGCCTCCCAACACTTATGATGGTATCCTCGGGTTCGATTGGTTGGCCCAGCAAAGCCCCATGAAAATTGATTGGGTGGAACAATGGATGTCTTCTAGTTATGAGGGTAGAGTGGTCACCTTGCAGGGTATAAATGCAGCTGAATACACTTATGCATGTGTGTCCATTTCAACTCCACAAGCAGCAGAAACTTCTGAAGTCCCTGTGGAAATTCAACAACTTATAGATGGATTTGTTGATGTGTTTGCAACTCCCACAGAGTTACCACCCAGGAGAGAAAGTGATCATCACATTCCCCTAATTTCAGGGGTAAGGCCTGTTACTTCAAGACCTTACATAATTGTTCCTCGACTAAAGGATGAACTAGAAAGGCAAATCAATGAACTGCTTGCAGCTGGACTGATCAGGGTTAGCAAAAGTCCTTTCTCTTCACCAGTGTTGCTTATCAAGAAGAAAGGAGGGGAATGGAGACTGGTTGTGGATTAGAGGATGTTAAATGCAATTACTGTTATTGGCAAGTTTCCAGTTCCAGTTATAGATGAACTACTGGATGAGTTGTTTGGTGCTGCATGGTTCACTAAACTGGATTTAAGAGCTGGTTACCATCAAATTCGGTTAGCTTCTGGAGAAGAGTACAAGACTACTTTCTCTACACATGTTGGTCACTACGAATACAATGTGCTTGCCTTTGGATTGAGTGGCGGTCCTGGCACCTTCCAGGGTTCTCTGAATAATACACTAAAACCTGTAAAAAGAAAGAATACACTCTGTTTCTTCGATGATATCCTCATCTTTAGCAAAACTTACAAGGAGCACCTTGCCCATGTTAGAAAGGTACTGGAATTACTCAGAGCTTATTAGTGGAAGGTTAAGTTGTCCAAATGTGCTTTTGCTCAACAACAAATTGATTATCTGGGTCACACTATTAGTGTTGCAGGTGTATCAACTGATTCTTCCAAAATCTCTACTGTTCAGAATTGGCCTACACCTACTAATGTCAAGGAAGTGAGAGGATTCCTTGGTCTTAGTGGATATTACAGAAAGTTCATATAGCATTATGGCATAATCAGTAAACCACTGACTGAACTCCTTAAGAAGGGAGTGCCATTTGTATGGAGTCCAGTTACTACAGAGGCATTCTCTATTCTGAAAAAGAAGCTGATTGAAGCCCCTGTGTTAGCTCTTCCTCAGTTCAATAAACCTTTTGTTATTGAAACAGATGCCTGTGACAGAGGGATTGGAGCAGTCTTGATGCAGGAGGGGCATCCACTAGCTTATGTCAGTAAGGCTCTAGGGCCCAAGAATAGAGGACTGTCAGTCTATGAAAAGGAATACATGGCTATTCTACTAGCAGTAGAACAGTGGATGCCATATTTACAGATGCAACATTTTGTAATCAGAACTGATCAGAAGAGTTTAATTCATTTGCAGAACCAAAAGTTGCACACTATGTGGCAACAGAAAGCACTTACCAAGTTGATGGGATTGGATTATGAGATTATGTATAAAAAGGGGGTTGAGAATTCTGCAGTAGATGCTCTGTCCAGAAGACCACCAGATCAACAATTGTTCTCTATATCTAAAATACAGCCAGTATGGATGACTGAAGTAATTAACAGCTACAGTGTTGACAAGTCTGATATTGAGCTTCTGCAACAGCTAGCTCTGGATCCTGCTGCCAAACCCAATCACCAGTTACTGCAAGGGATAATTAGGTATAAAGGAGCTATTTGGATATGTAATAAGCAAGAGTTACATGATAAAATCTTTGCTGCCTTCCATGACAGTCCAGTTGGTGGCCACTCAGGATTTCCTGTCACTTATCATAGGATACATTCTCTATTTAGATGGTCAGGAATGAAGAAGTTCATCAAGGATAAAAGTGCAATCCTGTATGATTTGCCAGCAAGCTAAACTAGAAAGGGTCAACCACCCAGGATTACTGCCCCCTCTGCCAGTGCCTAAGAAAGCTTGGGAATATGTCACTATGGATTTCATTTCTAGTCTTCCCGTCTCAGGCCAATTTGACTGTATATTCCTAGTTATTGACAAATTCACTAAGTATGGTCATTTCATGCCTATGAAGCATCCTTTCACTGCTACTAAAGTTGCTGAGGTGTTCTTGGATAATGTGTACAAGTTACATGGGATGCCAAAGTATATAGTGTCTGACAAAGACCCTGTTTTCACTAGTACATTTTGGCAAACCTTGGTCAAAAGAACTGGCACCCAACTCAACATGAGCACTGCTTATCATCCAGCTATTGATGGGCAGACTGAGCGAGTGAATCAGCAGGTTGAGTGTTATCTCAGAAGTTTCATCAGTGCACATCCTGAACAGTGGGGCAAGTGGCTTGCAATGTGTGAATTTTGGTATAACACCAATTGGCAATCTGCAGTGGGCAAAACTCCCTTTGAGATCTTGTATGGTCACACTCCATGGTACTTTGGCATCTCTGCTAGTGACACTGTGGCTTCCTCTGATATCCAGCAGTGGCTATTAGAAAGACAGACTGTGTTGGATTCTGTCACTGAACATTTGCATAGAGCACAACAGAGGATGAACCCCCAAGCTGATAAGCACAGGACTGAACGTGTCTTTGATATTGGTGAACTAGTTTTTCTCAAGCTACAGCCTTATGTCCAGTCCTCAGTCATTCGTCGAGCCAATCATAAACTATCCTTCAAATACTTTGGACCGTACAAAATTATTGGCAAAATAGGTGAAGTGGCATACAAACTGCAATTGCCTGCTGCTAGCAAAATTCATCCAGTTTTC